TCAGATACTGTGGATGATGAGCAAATAACAGCAAAACTGTAATGAAAAGTATGTATTTATGTCCTTGCTATTAAAGCCAAAGCTATAAACATTGACAGCCCTAAGAGTAGCAGTTTCTATTGTCATTGATTCATGCCTTGTTTTGAAGAACAAGGAGAATGTGAAATGAGAAAGGAATAAAGAGGGCTTTTCTCCTCTAAATCTGAAAAAATTACATTGGCTATTATAGGTGGGACATGATTTTCTGGAGCATTTTCATATAAGGCAAAATGTCTAGCAGTGGAAATACAGTCAGAGAGAGACCTTCTAAGAGCATTGAATTACACCACTGTGCACCACCATTGACCATGCTCACTAACGTGCTTCATGTTTGTTTCTTATATGCTTTCCATTAGCATAGATCTCAGCTGACAGTGTAGCCATATCCATCATGTATTCACTGCAAAGTAGAGTTTCTTTTAACACTTAGGTAACTTTTGCCTCAAAAATTCTGAGGAGAGAAAGTCAATCCAATGCCTTCCAAGCAAATCAAGGCAAAAAAAAAAAAAAAGTATAAGATGGCAACAGAGATGTAGGTGACAGCTTAAAACTTAATCAGAAGACATTCTTATGTCTGCCACAACTAGAAAACTATGGCACAGCACCTGGCTCCATTCACTGTAATGCTGTGTTCTCCCTTTCTCCCCAGCTACATGTTCAGAGGATTACATTTTCCAGTACAAGCCTTATCCCCACATCTGCTTCTGAATGGGAAAAAAAAGGTCACATACTCTTATTCCTGTAATGCTACCACCTTCCTCCAATCTGATAAGAGAGAAGATTCACTTCTGCTTTTTCTGCTCTGACGAAACGTTCATACAAACATATGCTGAGAGCACAAAAGATTTGTGCAATTCTTCCCTCCAGCACCACTACTGAACTTGTCTTTTAACCTTGGCTTTCCCTCTCGCCGTGCAAACATAACACCCAATAACCACCTGGCAAATCCAAAATAGATCCTCTTGAGATTTCCAGCAGAGAGGAGCCTAAAGGCTCTTTTTTCAATCATTTTAGATTAAAAAAAAAAAAAAAAAAAAAATGAAATGCAGAAAGAAAGGAAAGGAAGAGCCAGCTAAATCTGCATTATATGGGAAGTCTGAGACTCACATGAAGAGGTGAGCTTGCACCTTTTCCTGGGAACAGTCACCATGCTCTTAAAACACAGTGCATGGCACTGCCTCAGTGCTACACAGCGCATTACACTGGCAGTTCATCGATTCTCCTGCCAGCCCACTGACCCTCTCCCATTAAAAAGGCATCAGCTGCTCCCTCTATTAACATTCCTCTTTCTCAAGCCTCGAAGCCCATCAGTCGGGGTTACACATATCCAGACCCACGTCACAACTCACTGCAGTTTTCCAGGTAGCCATGATGGGTATTAGTCTGACACTGTAATTCCAAAGGTTCTCTCAGCAATTACTCCAACAAGCTCAGCAGAGAATTAATTTTGCTACATTAGCAAGGGTAGAGAAGATGACCTCTGTAGTCACAAGCCTGATATTTTTCCATAACTGAAAGAACTGAAAGATAACCTATTTCTCCTGAACGCCCAAACTCGTAATCGTGCAAAACTTGTATGTTGTTATTTACATGCACTGTTCTTACAGTGGAAGGAAAGATGCTCCATTCTATGAGCCTTCACCATGGACCTATGGCTTTGTGCTACTTCTTAAGGGAATCATTGTGCGATATTTGCTTTTTTTCTTTTTAATAACACAGACTGTTATTGTTATTGCTGCTGTAGCTGCTAAAGAGCTCTAGGGGGAGATGCAGAAATAGTCTATTCCCTTGTGTAATGCCTGAAATCAAACCAGAATACATCTGCCTGACGCTACGTGCCTGTTATTGCTTTAAAGCTGGTTATTAAAAACAAACAAAAACAATTGCTGTGCCACACAAGATTCCACCTCCTCCAAAATGGAAGGGCAATTTAATCCACTAGTGAAATACACCTATTAGAATCAGGACTTCTTCACTATGTTATGACTCAGGCAAGATAACCACATGTATTTATATCCTAAATTCGTTGGGATATAAGAAATACAAAGAGTTGCCAGCTCAAGTGAATCCCACTTGTTCAGGCAGTTCTGTATCTGTGCTGTTTGCACTGAAGAATGGTGCTTTCTACAGAACATAACAGAGCACAGAGACATCAGTGACACAGGTCAGTAGCCTCACAAAGAAGCAGGTGACTAAGACAGTGACAACCAGTAACTAGCTGAGACGTGCTACACTCCTCTCAGAAGAGCTGGGCAAGTCCAATAATCACCTGGAGGGAAGATTTCTGCTTCCTTTGTGAACCAATGAGGGCACTTAGCAGAGGGCAGCAGGACAGGCTGCAGGGAGTTCCCTGTCAGGAGCTCCAGGGCTTTGTTGATGATTTTAGAGGAACTCCACAGACGAGCCTTGCTGGCTACTATTGCACCACGATCCTTCTCCTTCTGAAAGGGAAGAGATAGCCAGTGAGAACAGGGGAGAAGGTGTGTTCTGAGGAGAACGAGATTTTAAAAGCCGGAAAATAAGCAGTTTTCTTGCTTTACAGAAAGAAATTAAGCATGAAGTCAGTTTTAAATACTTTGAACACACTGGCAACTCCATAAGCATGAGAAAGAGGCTGGCAATAAGTGAAGTGAACAAGAAAGAGGATATAAATAAATAACCAAGTACTAAGGATAATAGCAAATCTCTACAAACTTTAAAGAGATTGCTTCTCTTGAAGTACACATAAAGCACACAAAGCTAATCAGCCATTTAAGGGACACTCCTCTAAATTAAGGGACTATGGAAAGCTGGTGTCTGGAGATAAATGGATTTTCTTTCTTTTAAATGTTTGTACATTTAGGAAAGATGCAGCTGGTCTTTGTTTTCTTGAAAATAAATCATTCGGAGACATTACTCTTCTACCAGCAGTGAAATTTAGAGGAAAACAAGCAAATAAAGCCTGGTGAACACACATTATGCTAACTGCAGTTGAGAAGGGCTTGGTCTAGGGGTTGGCCTTGTCAAGCAATTTCTTTCAGACCAACTTTTCATAAGTTTTGACTGCTAAAACAATGTGTCAAAAGGCTCATTGCATCCAGCTATTATATATACTGCAAATCTGATTTATTTATACTTTATGTTATAAATCTTACAGACAAACTGTGCTTTTACACCATGACTATAGAAATCCTACTCTACACTACTCTTTGAAACATGCTTTCAAGCCAGTCACAGTAAAAATCTCCTTTAGTATCACATGTTGTGTAACATGCTTTAAACATCTGAGAATACACATCTGAAAGCATCTTGCAAAAGCTGAAGTTCAGATCCCAAGCCCGGTGTTGCAATTGCTTGTACCCTGCTTAGAAAATGGCAAGCTCACCTCAGGTTTCCTGTCCTCACTCTCCTCTGCTTCTGGAATAGTCTCAAGCACCTCAGCTAAGAACGTTTTCCTAAGAATTGTACGAGAATCAGCAGCTGCTATTTTCTTATTTCACAGCCATCTGTCTTCATGCATTTTTGATGAATCATTTTTGTTATTCATTCACACAGAAGTTGTACTTAATGTGTTATTTGTAGATTACCCCATTATCAGCCAACATATTCACTGCTGAGAGGATAACCAACATGACAAGATCTTTAATGCAGCATGTATGCTCTATTCCACACGTGAGGAGTAATACCAGGACTTTTTGGTGGAAAGAAGGACAAACTTTTCACAACTGCATTATCTTTCCCAGCAGTTTGATTTCACACACCTAAGTAAATCTCTCCAGAAACCATCAAAATAGACTCGAAGATATTTACAACTACATCTGAGAAAAGCAGAACTCCAAATCCTTGTTATTTACACACACTTTTACCCCATTAATCATCTCAAGAAGTTCACATACATGCAAATTCAGGACAGGATCAACCCCCACTGAGCAATGCAGGCTGAAAAATGAATTCACCTTGGTGATTCACATTTTAATTACAGAGAGAATTTTGTGTCACAAATGCTCACTTCATGAAATTTTAAAACTAGTGGAAGCCTTAAGCAGTGGGAGCCATAGAGCGAGTAGAGACTGAAAAAGAGACAGAAAAAGAGGAGACTCAGATGAGAGTGAAGGCTCAAATCATACATGAAATCAAAAGATCTTAGAGGCTGAAGAAGTGGCAGGTCTATAGGAGCCAGCAGGAAAAGTGTGAATGTGTTTTTAATCTCCCAAGGCACAATGAGGAGTGGAAGTCAAAAAAGGATGGAAGCTCCAGTGGAGAGTAAAGGCCAAGAAGAGAATTGAGGCCATTGGGAAATGGAGGCAAAAGTTAGAAGGCAAAAAAAAAAAAGTGGAAGGTTGAGTGGGGCAGGAGGTTCAAAAAGGCTGGGATACCCATGGCTGAAACAGCATGAGCAGTGGCAAAAAGGGTGGGAATCTCTGAGTGAATGGAAAGTAAAAGTAGTGGCAGGCCAAGAAGAGTGGAGGTTCAAAGAGCAGGAGAAGCAGGGAGCAGTAGAGTCTGAAAACAGAGTAATTGCTCTTGGTGTAGTCAAGCCAGCTTTTGTGGTCCAGTATTTACAGATTTATAATTCATGAGTTTAAATGTCTAATATCAGACAAATTTCCATGTAATATCTTCCTATGACAGAGCCCCCATTTTAATCATGACTTCTAAGATAGGAGAGAGGAAAATGGCAAACACATCAGTATGATATATCAAAACTTTACTAGTGCAATAACAGCCATGGGTTTATGAACCATTGGCTAAAACAAACAACAAAAATTAGATCGTTTGGCTGTGGATGCTGGAATGTAATAGATTGCTCCTGAGCTGGGGAACTGAGCACAGGCTGCAGTGATTAATGCTTGAATGCATTAAAAAGCTTGATGGTGTAAAAACTATTGAACAGAAGAGAGCAATATGGCATACAAACAAAACTAAAACAACCATAAATAACACAGGCACCCTTAAAAAGATTTACAAATATTTATTCCACATATAAATCTCTTTACAGTTATATCAGAAAGAAGACTTGCATTTCCTTAGCTGAATCATACAGAACAGAATGGAAATATCACTGCAGAAAGAGGAAAGCATCACATTTTCCAATCCACACAAGATGTCGTATAACAGCATCTTGGCTAAACGTTTCCTGAAAACTTTGACAGTAAAATCAAGTTCATTGGCACTTGTATAGTTTATTTACAGGGTCTCAAGTAATAAGATAATGGAGGAAGAAAAACATAGAAATGAGTCTCATTCATAGCTTCAGAAGGTCCTGTTCTCTGGACAGTCACAGCACTTAAGGCCATGCCTGCATTGCAGGTTAGAAGTTTTTCCATGGATGATGTTTCATGTGCTGAGCACTAAGCAGCATGGGGATTCTCACAGGCAGAAGAACACAGTCTGACATCTACTCCTAAGAAACAAATATGAGATTTTTGCATTCTGGCAAGTCCAATTTTACCAGCTGTTTTCAGTCAGGCAAGAAATAGTTGCTTCTTCATTGTTCAGCTTCATCCTAGGACAGAACTTGCTGTAGGATGCCTTCCACTAACATGATAATACCTGCTGTTCTCTGTTCCAGTCTGGTAGCCAAATAGCACAGCTAAATAGGGAAGTACTGGGCCAAATCTTCCTGTCAATGCTCTAGAGATTAAATCAAAGGCTGTGAAAATTTGTCTAGCACTTAAACAATTGAATGCATTTTTCCAACCCTATGTGCCACTGCCAAGCACCACGTATTCCTTAATTTGATTTTAAATTTTAAAATCTTTAGAATCTTGACATGAATCAATCCATGAGCTGAAGTGCAGAAGGCATATCACAGCTTTCTCTATATACTCCAAGTTTACTCTGTGAAAGTCAGGCCAACTTCAAAATGAAAATCATTGGAAAAGAGCATGAGTGGAGCTGAACCTTATGCTACATTGCTTGTAACATGGAGAACCCTGGAAAAGCAGAGAATTCAGGATGTGGCACATCACAAAGCAAAGCATAACACTCCCCTAGCTCAAGTTACACACTGAGGGCACATCCTCTTTGCTGGGATCTGTGGCCAGAGACGTGGTTTTTGGCTGCTACACATCACAGGGGCTACAGTTAAAAGCCACAAGGCAACGTTGAGACCACACAGTTGGCCTGTATCATAAGAGCAGCTAGGAAGGCAGAATTTTGTACGAAGACTTTACGCATTTGCCCCATCCATCCACATCGGGCACTCTCTGTAATTTCACCAGTAACAAATGATGCCTGAAGCCCAAATTCTGTGGAGTCCTAGTGCTTCCATATAATTTGTGGAGTTCACACCTGTTTCTGAAAACAAAAGGGGCCGAAGTCTCACTTGAAGCCTGAGGACTTGGCTCATAAACACAAAACCACATGAGAATAAAGCCTCAGGATTTTTGCTTATTTTATTGCTACAAATGCTAAGTTTAAAATTAATACCAACCAGAGTAAAGTGGGATAAGAAATAAAAGAAACATTTACTGCCTTAGATACAGGTCTACGTCCCAAACATTTCCATATCAAGGCAGTGTTGTCTCTGCTTTAGCAGCAGGCAAGCATAAAACATGCTCTTATTGAAAACACCATGAATTTTTCTGTCCTTTTAAACTTAGCTGTGGAAGGTTGCATAACATAAAAAAAAAAAATAGAGAAAGAGAATTGAAGACTTTCATTCTATATAAAGCAATTACCACGGCTGTCAGCAAGAACAAGATTTACTTACATGGAAAGGGTAAAGAGAAAGGAATGTTCCAAGCAGTTCTGAGAGGAAAAAAAAAAAAAAAGGCAAGGTTGCAATACTTTCTGAACCCCAAATTTAATAGAGGCCATAGAGATGTAGGGTAGCCTACATAACCCCAGTTACCTCGTAAGTCTCTTTCTGTACAGGTGATCTCATCAAAATTAGGACAGCTACCCAGGGATGTATGGCTCTTCAGAAGATACTTGCCTGACAGAAGCTGCGTGACCACAGAAACATTGCTGTGCAATTCTGAGGTTGTCCCAGACAGTCAACAGCAAAACTGGAAGCTGTTACAGGAAGTCTTACAGAGACGTCTCGGAAAATTGTACTGAATCTAAACACTGCAGGAGGGGAGCCACAAGTCTCCCCAGTGTTGCCACCATGCCAGTGAGGTTTACCAGACAGCCCAGGTAAAGCAGAGCACAAGCAGTGTGTTCCTATGCAGTGTTATTACCCAAGGAGATCAAAGGGAAACTGTTACTCTAACTCATTCAAAGCACCTTTGATTCTGGGTGACTGAAAAAAAAACAAAGAAAAAAAATCGATTGCTACATCACAGCCTGAAAACTTTAAAATATCCATAGACTGCACTTTGAAGTAACACTATTTACAAGATAAGCTCCTTCTATGGTTTTAATCATGGCACCAATATAACAAATAATCAAAGTCTCATTCAAATCTTACTGCACTTGAAATTGAGGTATAACTAATAATATGAAATAAAGGTAATTGCTGGAAAGATTTCTTATGCTTAAAACATAAAGGAGTAAAACATAAGGAGTAAAACACTCCTGGCTGGAGAAAGTGTCTTCCAGGGTATTTCTCAGCCTGTTTAAGCTGCAGCACCCATACTGGACAGCTGCTGAGGCTCTATCTGACAAACTCCTATGTAATCACTAGCTTTTCACAGTGTAAGACTTTCTTAATAGTTTCTTAGACTTTAATAAGTCTATTAAAGACCTTAAGATTATCTTCAAAATGGTAAGAGATAGAAAAAAGTACCAAAAAAACCTGCAGTTTTTACATGAAAAGACAGTCAGCATTGCCAACCTGCAGAAAGCAGAGCAAACAAAACAGTGAGCAAAGAGGCCCATGACAAACTCCCAAAGTAGGCAGAAGCAATGGAAGTCTCAGCCTAACAAACTGCTTGCTAAGAGTGAAAAAAAAGAACAGTTAGGGATTCATTCCATGTAGCGTGCAAGCTGTAAGAGCCCTTAACTCTGAATTGTTAGTTATTGCAGTGTTGCTGGTATCCATGATTTCCTCAGCTAACCCAGACAACAGATCCCTGAAGACAGACTTGAATCCTTACCACAGAACATACTCAGTGCCGGTACAGCCAGCAGGAAAAGTTAGTTTCTGAAGTAGAAACGCAGGAGTTAAGATAAAACCACTTTTAAATTGCTAAGCTACTGTTTATAAAAGATTACACTTAAATATTTACACCTCTACTGAGCATTTGTATTTCATATTCCCGCTTGAAGCAGGTTTTTATTGCTGAGTTGTAATTGCCTGAAATTAGCACCTTTCCCTAAAAATGCTGACAGATCATTCATCGTAGCAGCGCTGCCAGGCACAAAACACAGCTATAACACTAATACCAGTCTGTTTAAACAGGAAATCAAAGGAAAATGGAGCTCTGGATATTACTATCAGCCAGCAAGCCCTACAGCAGTCTGTCCCCTTTGCAGGCTTATGAACCTCACTATGCTGATCAGTTCAACTGCCAAAGGAGGCCAATGAGTCCATCAGCTTACACTGCCTGAAAAGCTATCTGCCATGGCTTGCATTGCTACTGTGTGCCTGTTCCTGATCTGTAGCACCAGTGTTGTTGTCAGGGGACAGCAGATCAGCAAAAGGCCAGAATTCAACTGGGTGCCACAGATGAATCAAACATCCTACCAAGAACAATTTCACTGACTGCTTTCAAGATAATAACACAGTGACACGATCACCTTGGTTTGCCACCAGCAGATTGTTTTGTGGGTGTTCATTTCTTTTTCCTTGATTCATTACACAAAAGCAGCCAGCATGAGGCATCTCTTGTCCCAAAATAAACAGAAGGATGAAGGGAACTAAGAAAAGGAAGGAGATGGTATTGGATGCTAAGCTACTTCAGTCTTTTGTCATGGTTTCAGCTGGGATAAAGTTAATTTTCTTTGTAGAGGCTTGTATGATGTTGTGTTCTGGATTTTTGATGAAAATAAGGGTGATAGCACACAGATGTTTTTGTTATTGCCAAGTGGCACTTATGCAGAGCCAAGGATTTTTCTACTTCTCGTGCTGCCCTGCCAACGAGCAGACTGGGGGTGCACAAAGAGCTGGGAGGGGACGCAGCCAGGACCCAGACTGACTGAAGATGCAGTCCATACCATATGGCATCATGCTCAGCAACAAAAGCTGCAGTAAAGAAGGAGGAAGTGAGGAAGATGACATTCAGAGTGATGGCATTTGTCTTCCAAAGAAACCATTACCCATGATGAGCTCCTTTTTCCTAGAAGCAGCTGAACACCTGCCTGCCAATGGGAATTCCTGGTGAACAAATTGCCAGTTGTGCTTTGCTTGTGAATGCAGCTTCTGCTTCAGCAAGTGAACTCTCCATCTCACCAACCCATGAGCTCTCACACTTTTACCTTTCTTATTCCCTCCTCCATTCCACCTGAGAAGAGCAAAATGCTGTGCAGTGCTGAGCTGCCTATTGAGTTAAACAGCCTTTATACTTATCTTCTCTGATTTCAAATTTTACTTGTATTTCTTAAAAAAAAAAAAAAAAAAAAAAATGACAGCAGAAATATAAAAAAATGAAGCTTCAAATGCACTGATATATATAAAAAAAATATACACTTTTACGTGCAGAAAAGTCCTTGACTCTGTGATTTCCCCCTCAAACCCAAGATATTTCAAGTACACAACTTTGTAAAATTAGAGACATAGCATTCACTTCTTCTGGCCCTTTCATAGTGGCCCTGAAGTCCAAACAGGCACACAGGAACCTCCAGCAAAATCCCCTTGCCTCCACTGCCAACCCTTGAATGAGGTCTGGGAAGGGGTGCATCCTGGCTCTACCCTTTCCATCACTCAGGCACATTGCACCTGAGCTCCCCTGGGATGACCCTGCCTTCCCACCAGGTGCTCAGTCACCATTCCAAACCACGACTCAGCATTTCCACTACAGTCTGACAACATTTACTGCACTGCTTGGAGAGTCAAAATAATTGCATACATCTCCTTGAGAAGCACCAAAACTAGAACAACGTCTGCTCTGATTGCTACCATGATCAGCAATACTGGCATGCTACTCTGTGGCACACTGCTCAATCACAAGTTCCCAAGCAGCCCACCTGTTACATAGCACAATGTCTCTTTCCCACAGGTGGACAGAGGCACAAGGAACTCAGCAGTGAGGTTCTCAAAAGGCTCTTAGCATTGATGTAACCTCAGCTCCTTTTGATTTCAAGCAGAGCAGAGTCACGTCAGCGCTGAGAGTTACTTTGGTAATCCAGGCCTGAACTCAGCAAGTACTGACAAACTCAGTATAGGATCTTGACAACTGTCAATCTTTTTTTGTTTTCAAGTAATAACATGCAGAAGAGCTTTTTTCTCAATGGGTCATTCTGCATCATTTTTTCCAAATGCTTGGATTAACCTCCTGATTGGTTCTAATCCAACTGCAGGCCAAAATGCAACATATAACCCTGTAACACACAGCACTGTTTAATAAGGAACAGAGTTCCTGACCAGTAATCTTAGAGTTTAACATCTGCTTTTAACAAAGTTTTGTGTAAAATATCTGGTGAAAAAAGCCTCTACTTCAGCTCATCAATTTGCTTTTCAGCCACACTGAAGTTTAGTATCAGGGTTCATCGATTTTTCAGCTTTCAAAAGAAGCTCTCAATGAAATCCATCCTTTGCCTAAGCCCTTCAAGTTACAACATGCTCACTGCCTGCTTTACTTTTACACAGGCAACCTGGGCTCAGCAGGGAACAGCCTGTTGTAGACAAGATTTCAGTACAATTGCAAGGGAAAATGCTACAACTCAATCTGAAGTGGAAAGTGGGAAATATAAAAAAGACCTTCTGAGAATCAAGTTTATAGCCTTTATCAACATACTGCATGTACAGGCACCTGTGTGCTTGCACACATGAAGTGCTATGGACTTGCCTCGTGGCACTGGTTATAACTGAGGGGAATTTGTCTATTAGCACGACTCCTTAACATATTTCTGCAGAGTTGGGAACAAAACAGACCTATGTATTATATAACAGTACAGTAACTATATATGACATAATGTTATATATTGTTGAAGGCACGCAACACTGCCTCACTGCCCAGTATTTTGCTAATAACCCAATGAAAAATTGTGTGATCACAGAGTGACAAAAAGCGAACCATGAAGGCCTGAAAAATATTGGCAAATACTGACCTTCCCTCACGCTCCTCCCTGACCAGTGGCAGACAATCCACACTGTAGTTATTAACAAAGACAGCCTTATGAGCTTGATAGATAGGTCAGATGATTTAGCACCTCCAGGTAAAACCTTTATACTGCATCTGAGTTTACTACCCACTAGTGATCCCACTTTTTTTTTATCAGTTGGAAGAGGATAAATTAGACCTTCCATGTAAATTTTATGTTTTGTCACCTAGATTTATGATCTTAGATGCACCTACTGCATTCAAAGAGGAAAAGCTGTTTTAAATGGCTTAGAAATAACCACAAATCCCAGTGCATATAAAGATCATATATCCCAATTCAGGCCAGAGAAAACTTCTGGATGGCTCAATAGAGTGCACCTGAGGAAACCCCGATACATTGCTATAGCAATCAAGTTCATGAGGAAGAAATTGCCTTATCACAAATGGCCTTTGTATTTCAGGCTGGCACGAGTCCAAACAATCATTTTTCATTAAGGGGAAAACAGCTTAACATTAAATATCATTTTTAAGAAAGCTAATCATGTAGTACACAGCCCCTAAGTAGCAATAGCGCTGAGTCTCATAAGTTTCAGTCTACAGCAG